GCTCCTTGGAGCATTGTTAGCGAAATGTTGCCGAAATCGATTTCATTTCATCGAATATCGTATTTTTCGTACTTATCGTATTTTTTGCTGTCTCATCTATAAAACTCAATAAAGAAGTTCAAATAGTTGATACCCTGAAATTTCTTGGAATTCATTCGATTTCTATTTCTGAAGTGCGTGTGATATTTCTCGGCTTACGAGCAACCTTTTAAAGTAATGAACGATGCGGACTGCATACAAGAACTACAAAATGTTTTTCGCAATTACCATTACCAATTTTTGGACCAGTAACTATATTCCCTTCGCAACTATAGCACTGGCATGAATATTGTTTTTTCAAAATTTTATGACAACCAGAAAAAAAACAGGTGGATTTGGAGATTTGATAATATTTGTGACAATACGAATTTCGCTCATTGCCAATATTGAGAACAGTCTAAATGAAAAGCAATAAAAACTTTTGATTTCAGGTCAAAATTTTTATTTTTTGCTATTTGTTTTTAAGCGAAATAATTTCACTTTTCGAAATTTTTTTCCACTTGAAGAATTCAAAAGAATAAATAAATAAATAAAGTAAAGCGATCCAATGATTCCTTCTTGAATCTTAATTAAAAATTTATATTTTTGAGATCTTTTATGGTTAAAAAATGGTAATTGATTAAGAAATAGCTGATATAGTGATTAAATGCGTGTATCGATCAATCTAAACTGAATAGCCCTCAAAAATTCTCCAATAAGCATATTTGAGCACCTGATAATTTCAAGTAGAGATGTGATAATGTTCACCACTTTTTTGATTGATTGGAATATGGAAAAGCAAACAAAATTGAATATAAAAAGTTGAATTTATAGATTGGATACAATTTGACTAATGGCTGTGTTCACTTTATTGCTTGTCCTTGCATCTTTATGTCACTTTGCTAATGGAGGTGCTATGACTATAGATGTTTGTTCTGTGGTCGTAGTAGCGGGACAAAATCCTGTACGAAGACCTTCATTACCTGTGGAAAACTGCCAAGATCGTGATCCGCCGGCCTGCTTCGAAATATTCAAGTACGGAAATGATGAAGATCAAATACCTGCAGAAAATCTTGTGCCGTAAGTTTTTGCGTTTTTAAATTTTATTTTCACTATATCACTGTAAGTCCATATGATATTTTTAAAATAGTGCCATCAGTATGAATATTGCTGGATAAATTGTAAGATAAAATTGTAAATTGTAAGGAAAATAAAAATTGTAAGATAGTAAACTGGATAAATTTTAAGAATTATCGATGATAAGAAAATATCAATTATATCATATTAAAAATTTAAAATAATTTTTAGAATTTTTCTAGAATTGAAATATTTTTCTTTCAGTGACCCCTTGAAACAAAATATGCTAAGCCGTTTTTCCATTTCATAAAATAAACCATTTCACTGAAATTCATTCATTCCATGAAATAAGAGTGAAAATATAAAAGCGCCTAATAAATCGCCGTCGTTATTAAAAAGCCATCGCATTTAACTTATTCAGCTATTGAAACAATTTAAATTTCATGGAAAAATCCGTCATCCAATCTTTCAAAAAATAAGAAGAAAGATTCACTGAAATTGTTTTATTGCAGCACCAACGATTATAAAGTTCCAGAGAATTGTCAAAAAGCTGAATATAGAATGTTAGCTCGTCAAATGTGCCCACAAAAGTGTGCCACTTGTTGCTTAACTAAGGAATATAACTGCCAAAATGGTAATTCTTTTTGGTGTAATTTACGCCTTATATATCCATTACAATAAAAAATATCTCTCTTTTTATCGATAGTTTTGACGTTTTGACAAATGCATTTTATTGCATTCTGGAAATATTCGATAGTCCTTTTCACAATATGGCTTATTCGTAATTCATTGAAAAAAATGAAAAAGTTTATAAAAAAAACAATATCGCATTTTGATAATTATTATCATTTGCAATGGAAAAATTAAATAAAATTGCTTAATAAAAAAATTCAAAAGCAGAAAAATTAAAACATTTTAAGGTGAAAATATCAATGGACTCGAAGAAGGAAAAAAAAGTTTATGCGAAAATTCTCTAAAATTCATTTAAAGGTAATGTTTAATCGAAAACTAAAAGTTATTAATTTTAGTTGGAGGTGCCGATGGTCCATGCAAAAATTTTTCAAGAGCACTGTGCAGTCAATTCCCAAACATTGCATTACAACTTTGCCCGCAAAGTTGTGGCCTTTGTCACTTACCTGGTGCCGCAAACATGTGTCCTGACACTATCGATGGTTGCGATGTTTTGGTGGGATTGGGTATTTGTTTTGACAATCGATTCAAGAATTTGTGCCAGAGGTCATGCTTCTCACGAGACTGCCTTACAAATCAAACAAGTGGGTTACTAATTACTATCGATTTTAATAGGTCAAAAAAGGCGTTGGTACTGGTTATTAATCGATATTATGAATGTCACTGTATAACGTATTATAATCTAAGAATAATTTGCATATTTCATGGTCGTGCATGTGATAAGTTCCTCGCAATAATCGAATAATCGGACCTTAGGGGAATCACTAAATCTTCCACTCCCATAATTATGTGAAAATTGTTAGAACA